TCAGCAGTTAAGCACCACCACCACCGCGGGCAGAAGACGGCTGAAATACTGTAGGTGTGTACGCTGTGGAAAGTTTCCTGTATTTGCATCAAACTCCAACCAAGGATCTATATTGCTTCGGTTTCTGCAACAGAAAGGCTTCTGGATATGGAGAATAAAGCAAAGCCGCCTTTCTTCCCTTTCTGTGAATCTCTATATCGTCTCACATAGAGAGAATGTTTGCATATTGATTATATTTTTATTATCGCAGAAATCCATGTATTTCTGAGCTCTCTGGGCTTCCCGAGATGAATTTGCTATTCTTTCACATAATGGAAAGACTATGAAATAACATTCAGATGCCTGTTTAAAAAGAAATGGAATTTTTTCCCGTGTGTTGGTGACGGAGGGACGTTGACGGTTGCTCCCCAGGCAGGGCCAGGCTCGCTGCGGGCATCCTGGGCCCTCTCCTGGCTGCTCTGGAGGGGACACGGAGCCCTTCTCCTTTCCCTAAGTTCTCACTGTCAGAGCTCCGAGGCGGGTTCTCTTCGGGCCCTCCAGATCCCAAATATTTTCATTGAAAACGGCTATGAGCCACAACATTTACTTTCAGATCCAAATTTACTTGGGATTCAGGGGGTATTTGTTTGTTTGTTTTCTTCAAGCTAATCGCCAATAAAAGACGACGTCACTTCTAATCTTTTTTCCCAACAAAACAGTTCAATATTTTAAAACTTAAGTCTCTAGGGACAGCATATGATTCGGTTCCTTTACAGGTGCGGGGCCCTGCTGCCCTCCAAAGAGCCCCAGGCCGTTGCAGACAAACGCGTTCCCCCGGGGAATGGATGCAGCCTACATAATCGCTTCGGTTTGCTTTTTGATACCTGGGACTAAAAGCAGACGAAGCATACATCTTCTCATGATAAAAAACTGCTTTCAATTATCTTATATGGCAGTTAATTCATAGAGAGGCCTAAGGAAAAAAAAACCTAAGCCTAATAAAAAAATAGAAATTACAGATAAACAGATGGTTTTAAGTGACAATACACCTGAAGAGGTTACAAAAAATGGAGAGACTGCCTAAAAAGATCATCAACAGAGCAAACTGTTTAGCCAAGGTTAATGAAAGTTAGGATATAGTGGCAAACGCACGAGGAAACAGATCGGATTAAGTGAGCAATTACGGAGATAAGGATTGTAAAATGCTGGTTATTTCAATCTTGTAAGAATCCCTTGGTTTTAGCACCGTCTTAAATTGTCTTTAAAATGCTTGTCATGCATTTTGCATACGGAATGTTTCAATCAGGCTTTGAATGGAACGGCTTGAAAGCAAAGGGTAAGAAAATTCACCTGGAGCTGACACTTGGTTTGCGATCAGGGTCCTGCATCACTGCGGCGTTTGTCAGGAAAAGGCAGCGTTAAGCTAACGCTTCGGGTAGAGCGGGGAAAAGCTGCACTGCCCCACAAAAACTGTGCTGCTCCTGGAGCGCTGCCAGAAACGTGAAGAGAGCAGGCCACCTTTCACTAACCGCCACCATTCTTTTATTATAATCAAACCATTATTGTTCATACCAGCTAAATTTTGATGGGAAATAATTTCTTGTTAATGATGTAAGACATATAGTTTAAAGATTTTCATTGTAAGCAGTAAAACCCAGTATTTTCTGAACCTGACAACACGCTCTAGAACAGCATAATCACCACTCGGAGAAATTATAGGTGAATGAGCCACTTTAAACTTGATTGAAATGGATTCTTGCCTTTTTTCTGCCTATTCTCCTTTATTAGGAATGCTTTAGTCAAATGGTTGTGTATTATTTTAGTGCATCATAGAAGCTGATTCAATTAAGATACTGTGGCATCTCAGATTTCATTTTTATAACCTATTATGTATTAACTTGCTGAAGGTCCATTTCTGACCTTGACTTCCAAATGGCAATACAAGAAAAGGAAGCATCCAGTAGTAAAGAAGCACATCCCCCACTGCACACTAACTCCTAAGTGAGTATTTAATAACCATTGAGCTTAGGGCTAGAACTTGTAAGTTTAAAAAAAAAAAACAAACCCAAACCCCAAAAAAAACTCAGCAACTTACTGCTGCAGATGATCCAGCTGCTGCGCTACAGTGGTGCTCATGCCAGTAGTGCACAAACCTGTTAGGCTGAGGTCAAACGCAGGCTTTGGGTTAGGCTCCCTCTCCACTCTCAGATGCTAATCTTGGGAGCAGTCTTATTCTCGACAGCAGGCACTATTGGCAAAGGAAAAGGGTTAAACTTCTCAACAGAGCATTTTCTGTCAAGTGCTATTGGAAGGAGTCTGATTTTTATTGTGAAGTGCAAAAAATGCATCTGTTGCAGACACGTCATCAATAGCAACGTATTCGGAGCAGCCAGCCCCGGACGCAGGAACAGCCGATCGGGAAACGCTGAAAGGCAGGTCGCGTTTGGTCTGAAACTGTCTTGGAGCCAGTTACTCCAGCGTGCAATTCCAGTGTGCTTAAGGCAACGCTGGGGTAAGCAAACAACTTCCAAATCTGATTTAACAATTAAGAAAGAAAAAGGAAAACCAAACTACACACATTTGTTCTGCTTAAACACTCCAGAGGAAACAGCTGCTTTAAGGCAGGTGGAAGTTCACCCGCGTTCCCGCGCCGACGCTGCTATCTCCAGCCGCGTTTCCAGCTGGGCAGAGAGGACAGCCCAGTCACAGCAGCAGCTTTTCACTTTCTGGAAGTTATTTGATGAAGCAAGACCAAGTTCAGTACGTGCATTTAAGCCCTCCCTTCCCCATCACCATGAAATATGCTAAGGGGAGCTAGTTCATCTCAGCACAGTTATAGAATGGATTCTATGAATAAAGGAGCTTTTCGTTAAATATTAAAAATAAAATTACATACTGCTTTCCGCTCTACTTAAAATTTTAGTGAGGATAAACCCCGAGGTGCTCAAAGCCATTACACAGAAGTTCTGTCTTCCCATTACCTTTTCTTCCTAGACTTATGCTGGCTGGAAAAAGTTCTGGATACTTCAGTTTTTCTTTGGCAGATCTCTCTAGAGTATTTATTCCGCAGTAACATTTCAAAATTGACTGTAGAAAAAACAAAATAGCCTAGGTGACCCTTCTGCAGTCTTACGATCTTAAATTCCCCATATATTAATCTTGCAAGTACAATTTATGATGAGTCATTAAGATATTTTCCATTTCAGACATTTAAATATTTAAAGATCCAGAGGTTGGCTGGTATAACATTCGAGTGCTTAAATTATCTCCTTCCACTCGCTCCACTTATCCTGCATAGCAGACTGGTGCCTGCAAATACCTTCGCCTTTCCTGAAGGAACATTTCCATTTGAACTGAGGAGGGTGCTAGAGAATGCAACTTCTGCTGCGCTGCAGCGCGATCTGTTAAAATTGCAAACTTATCTATAATGTATTTTGATTAGGAAATGATCTATGTGTATGTCAGACTGGTGGCGGTTTGAGAAGGAGAAAAAAAAAAAAAAAGAAAAACAAAAAAAAAGGTGTCCTCAAGGAACTGGGAGGTTCTGGCAGTGCTTGCAGCAGAAGCACAGAAGAGCTGAGGCTGGAATTTCTTGGTACCTGAAAAAGTTTACCTGGAGGTCTAATGCAGCCGGAGAAGAACACCCACGTCAGGGGCAGCTACGGCAGCAGCCAAAGCAAAGATGCGAAGGACAGCTCATTTACCCTGAATGCCACTGCAGGATTCCCCATAAAAAAATTTAAAGCAGGAACAGTGGCTGCTAAGAGAATTAAGCAGACATCCTGAAAACCAGGGACAGGTCGGTCTGTCTAGACAGGGACGAGGCTTAAACCTCCAAATCGTCCATCTCGGCTTTGCTTTTGCGGTAAGGAGAATGGCTGGAGAGGAACCTGAGGAACAACGGCTCAGACAGACATACTTTTGCAATTCTCAAGATATTTACCTCGAGATATTTTCTGAGAGCCCACAGACAGGGCAACTTGCTAAGTTTAGACATCGAATACAAAAACCATCTGTTCTTTCTGTTTCACAGAAGCGAAGCTCTGTTGCAAGAGAGACTTACCTGGAGTAAGAGAGTGCTCTTTAAACAAAATGTATTCTTTATACCAGGCTAAATCAGGTCGGTTAAAAAGGCAAAAAATATTTTTTTTTTTATCTGCAAGAAGACGTTTATTCTTTGTAAACCCCACAGAAAAAAAGAATGCAGCCAAGACCAAGTATTGAACGAAAACTGTGCCGAAGTAGGCAGCCAAATGGGGGAACCTCAACACAAAAAGTCAGTGACAATATTTCATGTTTTGCACAAAGATGAAAAACCTATGACATTTCTGAGTAACACTTTTATGGTGACAATTACACAAGATGATTCAAAAATGCAAATGACAGCAACATGCACACCTGGCTAAAGCTAGAAGTTTTATCCCAAAAGAATGTCTGTGATTAAACTGATGAAACTTTAATACTTCTGTTGACTTGCGTGTCCTACTTCATTTTTTTTTAATGAGGCATACATGCCAATTAACATGAAACTTTGTAAAAAAATCCTTTTCTTTTAAGAAGAACTTTGTCCTTCCAGAGTCCACTGCATGTTTGCAAAATCATAATGTTGGGTTTGTAATCCTGCTAGTTTCCAACACAATTTTGCTTCCCACCCCTCCAATCCCCACCCTCAAAAAAATCTGAAACACTTCAGAAGTTGCCAGTGCAAACGCTTTCTATCAATGTATAATATACATTTTAACTTAAACCTTTGTGCAATTTATGAGTTTCCTTTAAAACTCCTTAAAAACTCCTTGGCACAACAGCTGAAAAATATTCAGCTCCTTTAAATTGTCAAACACAAGGTGATATAAAGTGTAAATCACAGTTGAATAAAATAAAAAAAAACAGAACTGCAGCTTTTATTAGCCAGCTTTACAGTCTCTTGTATACAGTACATTGCACAGTTCCGCCTTCACAATAACGCTTCCTCTATTAATATTGTGCCTTCCACGATGCAGTATAATCAAGGCAAGTTACAGAACACTGCTGAGTTTATATCAAAATAAACAGAAGATGTAACCTTGGTTTATAATGAACATCCAAATTACCATGTACAATTTGCAGTAGACTCTGTAATGAGCTTGATATATAAGCTAGATGACAGTGAAGGGGGAAAAAATAGTTTGAACTATCAAGTTTCCTCTTGAAATGTCTTTTCCCAAGGCACTGTGAACAAGACTGTTAGCAATTCTCAATGACTAAAAACACCAATGGGAATATAAATATTTCACACAACAACCACCGTCACATCATCGTCTATTCTCTTACTCTTTCACTTAAACAACGCCCCTGAATTTTGTTTGGTCCTTTGAGGGGTAATCAAATTATCTTCTGCAACATCACATATTTGTATTTAATACATCTATAAATCAAAGCTTTGTTAGATTATTTAACCCTTTCACTGTAAAAACTAAAGGTTTTTCCTCACTATTTCTGAATGAATCTGCAAATTCAACTTGATTATTAAAAAAAAAAAAAAAGAAAGGGTTCAAAATCAAGCAAAGCCCTGTATTTTTCAAGAGGAAACCATGCAAAAGTACATAAAAAGGCAAAATTGGCTACTTGAAAACCAAGAATTGTTTTTAATGCATTGGCCAAGGAAAATAAATTGCAAAGTTCTGTGAGGTTTTCTAAAAATTTACAAGAAAAACTGATGGGCAGTTCTAGTCAATCCAGATGTTCTTTTATCCTGTTTTAAATGACAACGAATACAGTCTCACACAATACAATTTCATCTTGACTGCAAGAGACACTCCTGTGTGATGCCTTCAGCATGACAAAATTACTGGGCAAAAAGAAAATTGGCATTCATTTCTTCAAGGGCTGATAAACAGAGGCATTGGGATCAAGTCCAGAAGGGCTGGTCTCCACAAATTTGGAAGAGTAATGTGGGGAAACAGGACTCAGAGTGCTGGTGGCTGCAGTGTATGTTATGCTGGGCATTACTGCCATAACTTCTGCAATCTTCTGTTTTAGGTCCTTGATTTCCTGATCTTTTTGAATGATTTGCCCTGAAAACAGCAAATAACATCACTTAGAACCAGCAGCATGTTTCCCCCCTCCACCAACTGTTCAATGATACGAGCTGTTGAAGCGAAACACCCAGCAGCCATTCAGCGCTCTAACACGACATCGGCAAAAGCACAACTCGGGTGACTCCTGGCTTGTGTTGAGGAACTGTGTTTGACTACCTCTAGTTACCACGCAACACAACTAGACGTAGCACTTCCCTTCGGTTTTGCATGGTTTGGACTCACAGCTGCACCATACCAAAAAATTATTTCTATGGCTCAACTTTTTTCTGCACTTTTCCATTCACATTTTACCTCACGGGAGCACAAGTGTTTGCTTATTAAACGTATTATTTACTTTATTTTCGAAGCTGTCCTCTATTCTCACCATTTTTCTAAACCCGCTTCGTGCACCCTCACAACATCGCTACAGCAATTTATGAAACTACGGAAAGAGAAACACCAATGAGACGAAACAAAAAAAAATTCTCACTCTAATCAAATTTTCCTGCAACCAAGCAAACTTCTGCAAGGCAATTAAACAGGAACTAAATCAAAAGGTTATTTCATTTTGCTCCATGGTTTGCACACCTGAGCAAAGGAGTCTGGGCAGGGTTTTGTACTGGCTTTGTGCTCCCTCTGGTGGCTCCAACACCAGCAGCCACGCTCACCCCACCAGCACGAAGTTTAAAACAGGGTGGGTTATTCCCACCCCCCCATTTTGGTTGTATTTACTTCAGGAGTATCAAAATATTATTAGGATTCAAGGACAGGGGCTTAGTAGATGGCAACTATTATTTTATCTTCTAGCTCTTTAAGAGAAGTTCTCCAGCTTTAAGGCAATGGTTTATAAAAATGTAGAAAATCATCATAAACAAACGCCCATCTTGATGTTTATTGTCGTCAGTGTAATAGCTTGGGGAAATCAGGGCAGCCGATCAGCTGGATGGCGTAGGCTCACATTCACAAAGCTGTAAACGACAGCCGACGTGCTGCGTGGGGACTGCAGCCCGCCCCTGAACAAACAGGTAGGATATTCCTCCTGTCTTTCGCCGTTTCAGTCGGGACTACGTGTTGAATGAAACTACCCCATATTACCTTGGGCAATCTCGAGCTGCCGTTTTGCATCTCCTAATGCAGAGAACAGATCCAGCTTGATCCTTGTCTCTGCACTCAGGCTGTTCTCTAAGTGCTGTGTTTTATCCTGCATGGCTGAAAGCGCTGACATTAACACCTCCGTATCCTTCTCGTTTTCCTTGTACTTCCGCAGTTCCTGTAGGAGTAATTAGGACAAATGTTACGCTCACCGCCTTTACACGTGAGATACACTGAGAAGTCTTTCTCTTCCCCACAGCACACTGCTGGGCCTGGTATTAATACTGTAAAATTAAAATGATGGTTAATTAAGGACACTGTAATATTACCTCCAGTAATTATACATGACCATCATACAAGTGATTAAAGCCATATTGTACAATGCATAATTAGAGTGCGGTGAGCAAATACCATTTACTCTGCTTCTCAGCCCTCTATCATCCGTATCGAGACCCTCCACCCAGGAATCCTCCTCAGCACTGCCATGCGCCAGCTAAGCAGCCGCTCGGTGCTCCTAGCCACGCTGTGGAATAGGAAAACGCTTCCCACAAGCAAAATGGCTAGAATGGGGACTGAGCTCTTGCAAGACAGTTTGAAGAGATACTAAATAAGCATTTTAAGCTATTTCAATTGGCTGATGAGAGGGGTTTCTTCACCTCAGAATACTTCCCACATTGAACCTAACTGTGCTGCAAACCCAGAAATTTAGAAAAGAGAACAGGAGGGAGCAAGTATTCTGCACGTAAGAGACGGGCGCCTTGTGGCGGGGAAGGATGCATTAACGTTCCGACCAAGAAAAACTATACACAAAAAAAATTCTATACTTTTAAATGAAGAAACAATAATACAATGGGGAAACATTAATGCCTGTAATAAAAAGCTTCTCTAAACAGTTTGACGATGGTAATAAAATTAAAAAGCTTGATTAGAGCTGGTTTTAATTATTTGAAAGCCATGCTCGTATTCTCCATGGATAAACCACACTTGTTTTCAAGGGTTTGGTGAAACCAGGAACAACAGGCTGCATATGTTACTTGAGAACAAGTTCACAATAACACCAGGTGGATTTTGAAGAG